AACAGCATATTCTAAAGCATGTGATTCAAAAATTGGAACAATATTCGTCACACCATCTCCAGAATCTAAAACTATTCCAGTTGTCCTCCCAGTTGCAAACAAGGACAATACAGCAGGAATAGAAACATACATGGATGGTATTCTAAATGTTTCGAACATTATTTCAGTCATCTTTTCTCTATTTTGTTTTGGATTACAAGGAGGTTGAGTCAATAAAACAGGATGATTTTCACAATCCACCTGTAATTGACTAAAAACATGACGCCAAATCTGTTCCATCCCCTCCCAATTCGTCACTACTCCATGTTCTATTGGATATCTGACCATTCTAACATTCTTTCTACTGTCAATTTTAGCTTCATCTCCCACAAGGTATATTTCTTTGATATTTTCAGATTCTTTGGATTTTAAAGGAGAAGCAATGAGTGATGGAAAAACCACTTGTGGATTCTCACATCCTGAAAAACCTGCTTTAATGGAGCCAGAGCCATTATCAAACACGATCGCTGAATATTCTTGAGACATTTTTTTTTAATTTTGTAATTTCTGAGGAACAATGAACAGTTTTACAAAAAATCAAAAAAAATGTCTCAAGAATATTCAAATTTTCCAAACCTTAAAATTTTTTTTCAAATATATCAAAAATCATATTAAACTTTAATTGAAGAGGATTCAAACTTGTTATTGTAAATTACAGATATGTTTTCTTCTGGTGAATAAGCCAATATGTAAAGAAGAAGTTACAGACTATAGTCAACAATCTTTGTTATTGGAATTATTCAGAGTGGGATAGGAACTATCTGATTTCCGTATTAAGAAAGGAATTTGGCAATCAAATTGATGGTTTGGAACAATATGATGTCGATGGAAAGTTTGTCAATAGGATTGTTCATATTGTTCTTGAAGCTTATGAAAGATTAGACACTTATGATATCATCAAACAAGTGTTCCCAGAACTTTAAAAATCCAAAAGTCAATTCACCTTACCATTTAATTGGATTGAAAATTATTTATTTACTTCGTTTAGCAATAGTGATCTGGAAAATATTAAAAACTTTAGATACTGGAACGGTTCTGATTGTTCAAGGCGAGGAAGGAGTTGGGAAATCAAGATTTGTGAATGAACTTTCACAATTATTCCAAACAAGAATTAAAGGAGAAAAATGTGAGAAGAATTTTTCTGAAACTTGCAAGTTAATTGATGTTCGAATCAAGTTTAACAATGAGTTGGATCCAACTCCTCATCAAATGGCCAAATTCTCTTATTATTTTGCTGCAAGAACTATTCACTCATATGTTAACCATGTAAGACCTTTCAAATGGCCTGGAACTGAGGAAATGACAGATTGTCAAATTTTTCACAAGATTCTGAATGATTTGGAAGTTTACTCCTTTTCATTTTACGAAATAAGTGATTGGATAAAAAAACTGAAAAACCTTATTATAAGGATAAGTTAATGTGGATATATTTCACTTTGGACGATTTTTTCATTTTCACAAACCTGAAAGTGAAAATATTGTGAAAAGAACTTTAATGGAAGCATTTCAAGGTTTTGAACCTACTTGTTGTGTTGCTCTACCTGATGACAATGGTATTGATTATTGGGATTATCGAATGGGGTTTTATCCACTCACAGGATGCAATTTACAATGAACCCTTCCAATTAGAATCCATTAATTTACAAAAAAATCAAAAAAAATGGG